GGTGTGGGCCTGGGGCTGGGCTCCCCTGGCACCTGGGATATGGGGCTGCCCCCCAGAAGTTGCTGCCTATGCGACTGGACTCCAGGCYGGGATGGCCTGGAGCTGCCCCAGCGGCTGGTGCGGCTGCTCTGTGTTGTGCTGACCAGGAGCCCTGGWCTTTGGCTGTGGGACAGGGACAGGAGCCTGGACACTGACTGTGAGCCGGGACAGGAGCGGAGACTCTGGCTGTGGGGTGGGACAGGCCCCCCAGGACCAGAGGATCCCCCTGGCTCCGGCATCACTGGCTGTGGGGCTGCGTCAGGGCCCCAGGTGTGAGTGTCCATGGGGGTCCCGGGGCACCCCGAGGAGCACAGGCCGCCAGCACCGTGTCCTGAGACAGCCRGGCTCCATGGCAATCACCATGGCAACCAACTGGTTAAGGAGCCTTTCTCATCACCATGGAAACGGGGCCAGTGTCATCTCCGCTGGCTGCTCCTCAATGCTCATGGGACAGGGAGCAGGCGCCGGGGCGGGGGCCGCGTGGCAGGGCCTGGGGCACTGGCTGTCCGCACCGCCTTGGCCCCTGTCGCAGTGCCCACATGCAGGGTCTGCCCTTGCCCTGGCGCTGCGCACGGGGAGCGCTGGCTGCCGGGCTGCAGGATTGTAGGGCTGCAGGATTGTAGGGCTGCGGGCTGCAGGACTGCGGGCTGCAGGATTGTAGGGCTGCAGGACTGTGGGCTGCAGGACTGCAGGGCTGCAGGACTGCGGGTTGCAGGGCTGTAGGCCGTGGGTCTGTGCTGGTTGGCAGGAGAGGCTGTGTGCTCTCCTGAGGCTGTGTCACAGGGCTGTGCAGGAGGAAGGGGCCATGCGGTGCCCAAAGCAGCAGTCCGCAGCCGTACGGGGGCCTGGGTGGCGGTGACCTGGGGCTGCCACCCACCCTGATGCCCACGGCACCCTGCAGCCACGCGTGGGGCTGCGCGGGTCGCTGCGCGGAGCGGGGCCGGGTGCGAGCGGCCGCCCCGCGCGGAGGCAGCGCCCGCAGCCCCTGCCGCCTCCCCGTGGAGGCAGCCACCAGATTTCCCGGAGGTTGCTGCCTTCGGGAGACGTCATCAGGCAGCGGAGGGAGGGGGCTGCGCTGCGCGGGCTGCTCATGAGCACAGTGTAAGCAAGGGGGTGCGGGGCCACCCAGGGATGTGCACCGGGAGCAGCCAAAACCCCCGGACASCCCCTGTCCAGGCCGAACCCACCCCAGGGCAGCGGGGCCTGGTGCGGGCTGTGCAGCAGGGAGCCGGGGTGGCGCTGGGTGCAGGACACCGCCAGACCCCCGCACGTGTGTCACCTCAGGCTCCCCATGGTGCTGGCAGCAAGGCCGTGYCCGTGGTCTGGAGCCGGCTCTGCGCCCGGCTGCAGCGGTGCCGCCGGTACACGCTGCCACGCGGCAGGCCCAGCTGCAGCTCTCACAGGCTTGGAGAAGGGCCGTATTCCTCCTGCCGCCGGGGGGCTGCGTGGCGAGGGGCTCGCGGGAGCATCATTAGATTTGAGCTCAAGGACCTGTCGTTCCAGTGCGGCTGGCAGAATTGCCGCTCGGAGTGCGTGGTGGTGCCGGCACCTCCCCATCGCTGCCCTCCCCGGTGCCCCGCGGAGCCCCCAGCCCAGGCCGCTCTGCCCTGAGGCTGCAGCCCGCCCTGGCTCCTGTCGCTGCTGCTCATCCTTCTCCCGGTGCTGCCTGTCCTGGTGCCCTTGAGCTGGCGGCACCCCGGGGACCCCCTGCAGAGCCCTCCCTCCTGCACCCTGCTGTGGGGCCGAGCGGGGAGTGGGGCTGGCGTGCGAGGCCGGAGCTCAGGGAGCACCGCAGGCAGCCCTGGAGAGCGCACGGTGCCCAAAGGCAGCTGGATCTGCACGCAGCAGCGCTCGCTCCTGGGGAGGCGGCTCTGAGGCCGTCTGGAGTCTGCACTGTCAGGTTTCCCCGCGCCTGGAACACGTGTCTCGGTCATGAGGGGCTGATGCTGCTTGTGACAGGACAAAGCTGCAGGTCTGCAAGTCTGGCTGCAGGGACAGGGACATCTGCCCAGGGAGCCAAGGATGCTCCTGCGGGCCTGGCACTGCTGCAGGGCTCGCGCAGCAGCTCCCTTGGTGCCGCCCTGTGCAGGAGATCCAAGGACAGGCATGTGTGGGGCTGTGCTCAGAGGGCCTGCGGTCTGGGCAGGCATGGGRCAGGCTGCAGGTGCCGCAGGCTGTAGCTGTGAGTCGTGGCTGTGCCAATGCTGGGGCTGCAGGCTGCCATGGGTCTGTGTTGTGATTTCCAACCGTTGTCATTCCCGGGTGCCGTGAGCCCCAACCCCGGAGCCCAGCTCAGCAGATGGTGCTGTGGGGCCGGCGCGGGAGGGCCTGGGCAGTGGGGCAGGGCTGTGGGGCCGGCCGGGGCCCRGGGCTGGGCAGTGCTGCCCTATCCGGTTCCTCCCCTCGTGACGCCCGTGCAGCTCGCAGAAAGTGGGGCACTGATGCCATGCCTGGCCTGGCGCCAGCATCCTGCTTGTGCCCAGGCCTGGGGGACTCTGCAGCTGTCCCCCCGCYCCCCGCCCGGGGACCGCCACCTGCCTCCCTCTCCTGTGGCTGCTCCGGCCATGCCCTCGGCGGGCCATCCTCTCCCCCTGCGCCCGGGCACTGCTGGGCGGCGCTCCGGCCAGCCCCGGCCTCAGAAGCCCTGCACGAGCGTGAGGAGCTGCTGCCCCACGGCACCGCAGCTATGGCATGACCACCTCCCCACTGAGCCCTTGTCTGAGCCCTGTGCAGGTTTTGGCCGGGGTTGGGGTCAGCTCTGTCCAGGCTCTGAGCCCCAGTCTCTCTGCAGGAGCCGGCAGGAGTTGCTGCCATGCTGCCCCCACCAGTGCCAGGGTCCCCTCTGCTGCGCCCCGTCCCCCCAGCTGCGCCCCGTGTGTGCAGGGCCCTGTGCGCAGGCTGGGTGAATGTGGTGGACAGCGTAGCCCCCACACTGCTGGCAAATCTCGGACCCTGAAATGGAGCCGTAATCCAGGGATTAGTGGATTAGTGGTCTTTCACGTGCTTGCCCCCCCTCTCCCATCTGCTTTAGCAGGAAAATCCCTCCCGTACTGAGCTCATGCGGAGGTCTCCTGTGCAAAACCACTGTCCTGGCATCGGGCACCTGCTGGTGGGGTGCCCCCACGCAGCCCCCTGCCCATCTGTGCGGCCCCGGCTGCTGCTGCCAGGTGGGCTCTGCTCACCTGGGCAGGGAGCAGGGGGAGCGGCGCTGCCCTCCGCACCCCGGGCCGTGCCAGCTGCACCGGCCGGCCCTTCCCTTGGGACTCGGCCAGCCCCTTGCTCCAGCGCTGGCTCCTCCTCAAGGCAGAGGGACTTGGTGGAGGGGAAGCAGCCCCTGTGCCTGGGGGTGCAGCCCGGCCCCCCGGCTGGGCAGCCCCGGCCAGCGCGGGTGGCAGAGGCAGCGTGGGGGCGGAGGCGGCAGCGCAGTGCCCGGGGTGCCCGGCCCTCCGTGCTGCAGAGCCGTCCGCACGCGAGCTGCTCCTGCGGGGTGTGCAGAGCTCGGCGGGGAGCAGAGCCTGCTGTGGAGCCGGGCCAGGGAGCAGAGTCCGCTGCGGAGCCGGGCGTGGAGCAGAGCCCACTGCGGAGCGAGGCCGGCGGYGGGGCAGCCTCCTGCGGCCCAGCGCCAGCAGTGCCCGCGTGCGGCTGCCCGGGTCCCAGCGCAGCAGGGGCTGGGTGCTGGCTCCCGCGGGCACCGCAGGGGCCGAGGGCCACCCGCAGGGCTCCTCGAAGGAGGTCAGTGCCCTCCGGGGCACAGCGCCAAGGCCTGCAAGGTGAGGGCCTGGGAGCAGCCACGCTGCAGAGCAGCTGGCCCCGAACCAGGAGAAAGTAAACAATTAATTACAGCCGTCAAGAAGTAACTAACGCCAGCGGGCTGTCATGATCTCAGCCTGCTCCCGAGGAGATGCCGGGAGCTGCAGCCAGCTCCGGCTTTGGTATCCTCCCAGATTAGGTGCAGGGGATCAGTGAGTTGTTCTGAGGGGTCAGAGCAGACTTTGGTGAGTGGCACCAACCCTGGAGGTGCCACTGGGTCTCACCGTCCTGCTGGGGCTTGGGCTGAGAGCAGAGAGGGACAGGACAGGACCTGGGCAGCACAGACTGGGGAGGGATCAGCTCGTTCTCAGCCTGCCTCAAGTGTTAACCTTGGTTGAATCTGCAGCCCRGTGTCTGCAGCTCTGTGGCTCTGAGCGGGGGCTGCCCATGGGGAGCCCTCGAGGCTCTGCCCGCTGAGGTGCTGCTCAGTGAGACATTACTCCGGGCTCCCTGGAAGCCCCTGGGGAGCATTCAGGTCTGAGCTTGCTCCCATCTGCCAGCACCTTTCCGTGCTCTGCATGGCTGCTGCAGCCCGGCTGAGGTCAGAGAAGTGTCAGCCCTGGCCCTGCTCCCAGACGTCTGGACACCCCCCTGTCTGTCTACAGGGCACCCAGGTAATGGCATTGCCCAAGGCAGAGCTGGGGCTGCTGCAGCTCCTGCTGTTGGGACAGGAGGATCCCCCTTGCCAGCCTGTCCTGCCTGCAGGATGGTCCTTGGAGCAGTCCCAGCATCACACAGGAGATCCCCACTCTTTCCAGCTGCAACCTTGAGCCTAGCAGGGGCTGGGGGCTTCCTGGGGGGCAGAGATTGCCCTGACTCCTTGGAGGGCTCACAGGATCCCTTGGAGACACACCAGTCCATGCTGGAGCAGTGCCTGTCCCACTGCCCTCCCTCCCAGCCACAGGGCTGGGGTCCRCTGGTCCCTTGGGCTCTGCCATGGACTAATTGAGGGACATGCAGTAGCTGACCTGCCTACGCCAGCTGGGAGGGGGGACCTGCAGCCRCCAAAGTGCCCTAATTCCCCCAGCCCTGGCTCAGTGAGGCAGAGCAGCACTGCCCGGGGAGGTGGCGTATGGCTCTGCTACAGCTCCTTCCCCCTCCCTCCTCTGCCTTGCACTGCTTCCCTCCCCAAAAACCCGACAGGGGATAATGCCTCCTGAATACATGATGAAGTGAGTAGTCAGGCTGGGCTCYGCCGCTGCTGCTGGGAGTGAGTGAGTGTGTGAGTCTGTGCATTGAGGCATCTCTGCACTGCAGCCTCCTCCTACATCCAGCCAGAGAGAAAGAGAAAGGCACGGAAGGAAGGCGGCTTGTTGCAGTGCGAGGCASTGGCCCTGCGAAGAAGCAAATTCCTTGCAGCCACCCGAGGAAGGAGCGAAGCAGCCTCTGAACAGGGAGGCAGGCAGCAGGCGCCATGCTGAATAACCTGACGGACTGCGAGGATGGTGATGGGGGTGCAAATCAAGGTAAGCGAGCAGCCCTTGGAGGGGCAGGGGAGCAGCAGGGCTGAAGGGAGAGATGGGGGTCAGGGGCAGAGCCTGGCAGGATTTGCCCTGCAGGCTGTTGGGGTGATCAGCAAAGCCAGAGCCGCGGGGAGCAGGCAGGAATGTCGCGTTCTTCACCATGCGTGGCRGCAGAGGCAGCCGGCGCTGATGCGGGCACAGAGAGCGGGAGGTCGTGCGCCAGGCGCGGGGAGGGGGCGCCTGCAGCCCCCGAACCCCGCAGCGCGGCAGGAGCCGCCGCGAGCGGCCGCCCCGGGCGGCTGCCGTTGCACCGAGCGCGATGGCGGCGGGGCGGCGCGGGGGCCGCGCGGGACGCGAGCCCCTGTCCCCATGGGTCTGCGGCGCTGCTCCCGCGCCAGGTCCGGGGGCCGCTCCGGTCCCCACGCTGGCCGCTGCCCCCGAGCGCGGGTCCCGCTCCCGGGCTCGGCTGCGGACAGCGGTGCCGGCCCCGGCTGCGCTCCGGCCGCCCCCGGGGAGCAGCGCGGACCGATGCCCCCCGGGGGCGGCACAGCCAGCGGCCCCCGGCCCCGCTTCCGCACCTGGGCGCTGCGGGCAGCCCCTGCGCAAGACCCCGGCCCCCGCTCCCCCTTCCCTCCCGCAGCAATATC